TTCACTCTGCTGCCCAGATGGGAAGAATTGTGTCCAGTATTTCTGTTGGGACTTTTGTAAATTAAAGAATATGATTATGCCTAAAATTTATCCCTTTTCACTTAATATTAGAATGAAAAAGTATTACTTTGAATTAGTAGTGTGATTTTTTTTTTTTTTTTTTAACAAGCAGCTGTCTCTGAAGTATGGCAAGTTTAGCCACTAATGACGGCTGATACTTCCTGGGCACGTACCATGTGCCAGGTGTTCTAAGCCCTTTGTGTGGATGAACCCATTTAAACCACATAGAAACCTGTGAGGCGGAGCCACTTATTGTCCCCATTTTACACATAACTAACTTGAAGATCAGAGGGACTGTGTCCAACACAGATCGTAAAGGACAGTTCCAGAACTAGGACCCAGACGGCTGGCTCCAGAGCCCCAGTTCTCCTGCCGTTCACTGAGTGGTTCTGCCCACACAGGACCCCAAGCATGGGCACCGGCTGCCCTTCCTAAACTCTAGCCATGCCCATGGAGCTTTAGTGAGGGGACCCTGTGGAAGAGAAGAGTTCACTCTTGAGTGAAATTTTAGCTTTTGTTCTCTAGCACACATCTGCTGGGAATCATATTCCTACAGGATTCAATTCAAGTTTTTTGAGAACAGGTTTTCCCACCTGCATTCCCACCATCACGTCCAGAGTAGAACAAAGTAGATTTGCAACAGTGCTCCTTTGTACAGATGCTCTTCTGATGATACCACCATATCTACGAATTTGACTATCAACAACTCCCCTAGGTTTTTCTGTCCTTCGACCAAAGCTCTAAGTATACACAGGGTCTTTACACAAATAACGGTTGTGAAACTTATTTATGACTAAAATACACTGTGATACATTTCCTAATGACAAAGTGCACTAAAGCTAGAAAGGCAGATTGGGGAGCAATTCATGTTCACCCCAGATGGTTATTTCTCATTGCAGCAACACAGCAGCTATACTTTGACGGTAGAAGCGAGAGATGGCAATGGACAAATCACGGATAAGCCAGTAAAACAAGCTCAAGTGCAGATTCGTATTTTGGATGTCAATGACAACATACCAGTAGTGGAAAATGAAATGGTAAATATTATTCTTATGATAAGTGCACCTATGTGTTTATTTTTTAATTTAAACTAAAATCATGCAACTAAAGTGTGCATTACCTTAGAATACAAACCGCGTGTCCGTGTTTTGCAGTATGAAGGGGCCGTGGAGGAAAATCAAGCCAACGTGGAAGTCATGCGCATCAAAGTGTTCGACGCAGATGAAGTCGGCTCCGACAACTGGCTGGCCAACTTCACCTTTGCATCTGGAAATGAAGGAGGTTACTTTCACATAGAAACAGACACTCAAACTAATGAAGGAATCGTGACCCTTATTAAGGTAAGTAGTGAGTGTTAAAAACAGGGCTGGGGCAGGTTGGTACTGGAGAGGAATCTGGTGCATTCTGACCCCCACACAAAAGTGCTTTGCAAACTCAACTGACAC